TAGGTGAGACAGCGGGGGTGCAGCAGCCTGTCGCTGAAGGAGCTGCACATGAGTATAGGGTGTCCTGGAGGGGGTGGGACACATTGTCCAGCAGGGAGGACAGCTTGGCTGCCATTCTCCTGTCTCCCACCACCTCCACAGTGTATAGAGTTTTACAATTTCAGTTAACATTTAAACATTAAAACAAGCCACAAATATTAATGATTAATATTGTGGTAAAAACATTTAACAGATGTGTTTTGTTGCTATGTTACTCACTAACCTGTAACTGATGCACTTATTGTAAGTCTTTTTGGATAAAAATGTCAGCTGTAATGCGATGATGGTGATAAACAAAATGTATTTGATTGCACCTCTATATTTGAGTGTCTGTCGGCTGTTGTTTTGTAAGGAATATAAAGTTGAGTGAAATGTCTGTCACAATACGGAGGCTATCTTAAGGGAGAGAATTATTAATGAATATATTCATTAAAATGCTGGATTTGTTCTTGTTGCAGGAATTCATAGCATAACTACTGTCAGTGAAGTGTCAGTGAAGGCTGGAGATCCCATCGCCATCCCATGCCTATATAACTTGAAATTCAAAGATAATGAGAAATGCTTGTGTAAAGGAACAGGGTGGCCAAAATGTGATTATGTAGTTCAAACGAACAAGCCAGATAATTCAAAACAGTTTTCAATCTCTGATGACCAAACCCAAGGTATCTTCACAGTCACTATTCATAATCCAAAGGATGATGGAACAAGCTACTGGTGTGCTATCGAGAAAAGTTGGTCAAAAGATGTCAAAAAACGTTTTGAGCTGTCAGTCACCACAGGTATAATCTATTGAATGTTTTAAACACAGTTAATATCCTTTTTGTTAACTACTTTGTGGGGAAAAAAACGATGTTGTTATTTGTTCAAGGTATGCCAAGTCTTCACGTGGACCAACAGGAAATCACAGCATTTGAAGGAGGAAGTGTGACTGTCGAGTGCCACTCTAAAAATCCAAAAGTAACTAAGTGGTGCAGGCTGGACAGCAGCAGCTGTGTGTTGGATCAGACTGGATCAATAGATGGAGCAAAAGTCACCATCAACAGAAGTGTCTCAAATGTGTTCACCGTGACGATGAGTGGACTGAAGACAGAGAACAGCGGCTGGTACTGGTGTGTTAAAGGAAAATTACAAATGCCAGTGCACATAACTGTTCATGAGTTAACCTCAACTACTTCAACTACTTCAACTACTTCAACTACAATAAGCACCAATACAGCAAGTAAGACACTAACTGATTTCTTTTTTCATAAATTACATAACTCAACCTGGAAACAATGCTTGTTAATTTTACATAATAAAATCAATTAATTGAATGTACCTTGAAAATGTGGGAACCACGGTATAATAGTCCACAAATGTGAGTTTAAAAAAGGCATTGATATTATCAACAATGTGTTTGTACATGTATTTACTTTAACATTTTACAGCGACACTTCAAACCACTACCCAGAATGCCTCCCTGTTCACGAGTGAAGAGCCACCGAGAGTACAGCCCTCCTTCTCCACCGTAATCGGGACAGGCGGAGAGAGCCTGCAAGATAAAAACAAGAGGTCAGTACTCATGATTACTTTTTAAAGCTTTCTTGTACTAGATCAGATTGTGTACATTTATACATAACCCTCTTTTCATCTTCCATATGTTCTAATACAACACACCTGATATGCTGTGTACCTACTCAAAATACTAAATCACATATCTTTGCATGTTATTCATTATTTGCTTCTTTATAATTTCAGTCTTTAGCAGTAATGTTTTTCTTATATACAGGACTGTCTCAGAAAATTAGAATATTGTGATAAAGTTCTTTATTTTCTGTAATGCAATTAAAAAAACAAAAATGTCATACATTCTGGATTCATTACAAATCAACTGAAATATTGCAAGCCTTTTATTATTTTAATATTGCTGATTATGGCATACAGCTTAAGAAAACTCAAATATCCTATCTCTAAATATTAGAATATCATGAAAAAGTATACTAGTAGGGTGTTCAACGAATCACTTGAATCGTCTAATTAACTCGAAACACCTGCAAGGGTTTCCTGAGCCTTGAAAAACACTCAGCTTGGTTCAGTAAACTAAATCACAAGTATGGGGAAGACTGCTGATCTGACTGCT